GAGGGATGATCGGTTTGGAGTGGGGTAAACAGGTCGAAATCTCCATGTATCGGACGTGAACCCAATACAAGCCACCAACTCTCCCAAGTGCTGCCACTCGAACCGAGTGGGGTTTATCATGACATCATCTCCACCGTGTCCTGAGTGGCTGAGTCTCYTGACGTTTCTGCTTCAAGCACTAACAAGTTCTCAGTTCTCACTTCTCACCYCATCCCTCTTTTATGGCTTACAAGTTACAACATTTCTCTTATTTTGTTGTTTAATATTATTTGGTTATTTCTGTATATTAATTGTTTCTAGACATAGAGAAGAAACAAGCCACTTCTGCGGTTCTGCCTTGTTTCAGAAACAGTAGGACCAATTGTTATAAAAACAGTAAACACTAAAGAGGACTCACCGCCGCCGCCGGTGATTGTATTCGTCGGAGAGTTCGCGGTGAATCGGTGACTGTGGTCTGTGAGCTGCAAGCTTGACCTGCGATTTTGACAATGATCACTTGATCAGTTCGCGTCTGAGAAAGAGAGAGAGAGAGCTCGCCGCCGCCGCCGGAGTTGTTGCGCCGGTGAACGTTCGCCGCCTCGCCGGTTGTGGCTGCCTGAGAGTGTGAGGATGAGAACAGTGCACTGTGGAGGATGTGGAGAACTGGAGATTGGAGATGAAGGGTCGGCTGAAAAAAAGAATGGGAAGAGACATAGATGTCTCGACTAGGGGTTTTATTTAGGTTTAAGTATAGGTCGGGCCGGGCTGGGCTATTTTGGCAAATCCTGATCCCGGCTCGAATTTATTGCGGGCGGGGCTTTTTCGCCCAAGGTTAAGCCCGTGGGCCCATATACTTGTTCAAGCCCGCTCAGGGGCCAGGCTGGGCCGGCCCGTCGAGCTGCCCGGCCCATGAACAGGTCTACTCCCAGGTTGAGTTCTAACTTTAGACAGTGAAGTTCAATGCTAGGAGCTTATCGTGCAAATGCAATGCTGCTTATCAAGTGGGGTTTATCTACTAATGGATGATGCACCTTTTGAGATATTCGATGGATTAACCTTAGTAGGAATGCTGGGAGGTGGGAGGTGATGCCAAAAGTAAAAAACTATTTTGTTCCCTTGTATCCAAGATAGATGGAGATGTGACTTTCTACCAACAAAATGCTCCCAATACTATCCCAACAGTCCATGAAGTTGCACATTGGGAACGAGTTTGGCTTCAGTCAGAGCAAGCCCATGCTCATATTGTTCCAATAGCCTCTTGGAACCTTGCATTGGGGATATCTACCCATGAAGTAAAGCACATAAGTAGGGAGATATTCCCAATACAAGGCTGTAAAGGTTGTTCGAACAAGCTTTGCTTTGACCGAAGCCAAACTCATTGGGAACATCTCCTTTGTCATTCACGAGAGGTGTTTTTGATGTATGGTTGCAATAGCTGTTGGGAGGTTTGTTGGAAACCTGAATTAGTTTAGATTAGGGATGGCAATTTTTCCAATTTTCTCGATCCCCATGGGGATCCACCCCGAATGGGGGTGGAGATGGGGAAATTTTCATCCCTGTTAGCGAGGACGGGGAGATCATTCCCCACCCCGTGAGATCCCCACTAATATATATGTATGCATATGTTATATATACACATATATCTATATATTAATATTATTTTAAAATGTGGTTGAATATTTTCTAATAGGATTATAAATTTTAATTATTTTATTTTTAAAATAAAAACAAAATATTTAGCATTACAAAAAAATCATGGGCAATGGGGATAACATTGTCCCTATTAGCGAGGACCGGGATAGGGTTTCCCTGTCCCGTTGTCATTCTTAGTTTAGACAGACTTTTTCACCGTTTTAATATTGATATAAAATTTAAGTGAGATATATCAAAGTCGCTTTGGCCGAGTGGTTAAGGCGTGTGCCTGCTAAGTACATGGGGTTTCCCCGCGAGAGTTCGAATCTCTCAGGCGACGTTTATTTTTCGACGATCCATTGATGGTATTATTTTATTTATAGCTCTCGGGATATTTTTATACGAACAGCTTTCATAGCTCAGTTGGTTAGAGCACCCGTTTAGTAAGCGGGAGGTCTTGAGTTCGAATCTCAATGAAAGCAATCGATATTTGTTTTTATTTAATTCATTCACACTGTAATTCAAATTTATATTTTGCGACTTGTATATAATTTAATAGCTTTCATAGCTAAGTTGGTTAGAGCACTCGTTTAGTACGCGGGAGGTCTTTAGTTCGAATCTCAATGAAAGCAATCGACATTTGTTTTTATTTAATTCATTCACACTGTAATTCAAATTTATATCTTGGTTATAGCTAATTTTTTTATTTTTTATTTATTTTTTAAGTCAAAACAGGTTATTCATCCAAATTGGATGGTTGAACCATTCCACCTAGGAACCTGTTCTCAAAATAGTTGTGTCCGGTCCAATTTTTAGAACTTTGTGAGATGTACTACTCTCAAAGTACTTAGAACACCACCATGGGTATCATGAACATCTCTCCATAAATAACAACAGAGATATTCCTAATTCACAGCTGTAATGTATCATAAGTAGAGATGTGGGAAGAGATTATGGATAGCAGATTCAAGCCATTTATTTCAAGGATAACGCTAGCATGTGAATCACACTATTCATTTCACACATTATTAGGACTCTTTATGAAATTAACCTTCATAATGAAAGTATTACTTTTGCCTTTCAATATATCAACATTAACCTCATTTTTATAGTTAAATTATATTGTTTTTCCTTAGAACCTTTTTCAACTTGCTTTACATCGTGATATCATACCTTTAAGAGGTGTGAATAAATGTGTTTTACCCCGATTAAAATAAACAAATAAACAAACTTGTAGAAGACTCAGTTTGGAAGGAGTACAAATACAAATATGTACAGTACAAAATCTTGTATTTTGTATTATTTTATATGTATTTGCACTGTACATATTTGCATTTGTACTCCTTCCAAACTAAGCAGAAAGGATAAGCAATTTAAACAAGCCTTGAGTTTTCATAAATTGACTTTAAACACATACCCTATGTTTTTCAATATACCTTGTGGTTGTAAAAGACTTTTTTACATTCCTCCCCTCTTTTGTTCTTTCCAATGAAATAAATGAAAATATAGAGTGGATGCTATCATTGTGTTAAAGAATAATGGTAAACAAATAGCTTTCATAGCTTAGTTGGTTAGAGCACCACTTTAGTAAGTGGGAGGTCTTGAGTTCAAATCTCAATGAAAGCAGTCATTTCATAGCTTGCATATGATCAAATAGCTTATTTTATATGTATTTGCACTGTATATATTTGCATTTGTATTCCTTCCAAACTGAGCAGAAAGGATAAACAATTTAAACAAACCTTGAGTTTAAAATAAGATTTTTAGAATATTAAAAGAAGTTCATGAGATGAGAGAAGAAATGAGGCTATGCTTAAGATTAATAGGGTCAGGCCATAAGTTATATTTAAGTCTATTTGAAAACTCATGGTATGCTTAAGTTCACTAGTAGGTGTGCACATGGTAATTCTAGATAGTAATAATGTATCCAAATTCTTCTATAAACTTTATCTTACTTTGTTAGATTATTCTTTTTGTAATATTTAATCTTTTTGGTGTATCTTTCTTTTTTGTTCACTTATAAAAAAATATAAAATTTAAATAGAGGGAATTTAATGGAGTGAAAAGTAGTAGTTCAATTTATAATTTAAACCTTATAATTAAATAGGGACTAAATTCAAAAATGAATATTTTAGTCAAAAGAAAGTTCCACAATCTTATTCATATTTTTAATAATAGTGTAAATATAGAATTATAGATGTGCTCACTTTTTTTTATAACTTTTTTGTATTTTTGTGTGTAAAAATAATTATAATATGTCACACTTACCTTTTGTTTAATATGACAAATATATAATATTATACATGTGCCTAAATGTTTTCTTTTGAAAAAATTATGTATTTTATATTTTATTAACTTTTATTATTTATTTATGACTTTATAGGTTAACATGTTTGACCCAAAATTTGAACTATTGATCTTTGCCAAATAGTAAAATAATTTTATTTTTGGTCAATTCTAAATTGTGCATTTCATTTTCATTACTAATAAAAATAATTATTGTTTATTACACTTATTTTTTTTTAATTTTATTAATAAAAATATCATAAATGCTTATTTTTTTCTACATTTTTTGTAAGTTTCTATATTTATTTCTATTTAAAAATTTTATTACCTAACTACGACTTTGTAGGTTGGTCAATTTGATTCTGATGGTTAAATTTCTTAGCCACCACTTAGATTAAAAATGGTTTTGTTTTTGAGTCAATTTTAAAACATATGGGTTTATGTTGTTGAAAATATTGACATAGATCTAATTTAATAAGAGAAAATGGGGGTTAATAATTTTAGTATAAAACTTTATGAAAGGGGATTAAATAAGGTGGGAAGTAATAATTGAAGTTACATTTTCAACCTTACCATATTAGAGATGGACTAAATACACAATTACGAGCATTTGAATAGCCATTAAAATTGGCATTAAAGCTATAATAAAATGATTTTTATACCCTTTCTCAAACAAAAAAAGTAGAATGTAATTTTAATCCAAAAAATGTTTCACATTGCATTCACACTTTTATATATAGCATAGATTTATAAAAATTCTAGGTTTGATTAAGTCTTATGCCCTATAAAAAATTGCAAATGTAGGGCCTGGCAAAAAATTGTAAATGTAGAAAAATCAAAATGAACTATAACGATCAACTAATTGTAGCATAAACTTGGGATCAAATCTTGTTGTCTCCAGGGTTGGGGGGTTATGGATATGGGGACGTGCTACCAATCCCATGGGGTTGCATAACTTGCATGCGGATAAGATTCAAGATTTATGTTTTCAAGGCCTAAAAGCACAATGACTCAATGTGGGATTAAATGCGTTTTGGCTTTAGTTTATATTGTTTTAAAGGAACTCTTACCATGTGCTGGACACTTAAAGCATTATATATGCCTTTGGAGTTTTTTTTTAATGCTACAATACCCCTTTTATTGTGATAGATTCCTTCACCTATTTATGTTCTTAGCTAATACAGAGCTATAAAAATTTATGAGGTAGAAGAATTTATAACCCTCCAAAAAACGAACTCATGCCAAATGCTCAAAACACGTACAACACATTCAACCACAATTTTATTTTTTATAGCCCAAAGCTCAAGAAAAAAAGTGAAAGCATATCCAAATGGAGCATAACCCCAAACCATAAGGGGTGAACAAGTCAATAGGTAAACCTATGAGGCCTTAGTCGTCATCATCATCATCTAAGCCTTATCTCAATCATACGTGGTTGACTACATGAATCTTGTTTTGATAGTCCATTCTGTTTAGTGCCAATATCCATTGCTAAACTATTGACACTTAAAAATCATTTCTTATTACTTCTACCCATGTTTTTTTTGGTCTATCCCTCACCCTTCTAGCCTCCTTCAACTTGTAACAAATCACTTCTTTTTATGAACAGGTGTCATTGGCGGTGTTCTATGCACAAGACCAAGCCATCTCATTAAACCATCTATTGGAGATATTACTAAATCTCTACGAGTGACTTCCATTTCTGATCCTATCCGTTGTAGTTTTTTCATTCATCCATCTAAGCATACACAATTTTGCCAAATTCATTTTCTTGGCATATTATTTGTTAATTATTCCATACTAAGGTGAGGCCATAATATTTGACTGAAATCATAGTGATAGTACAATTAATCTAACAAAAAAAAAGTACTAATCAAAACATAGAAAAATTGAAGAGTTCAATAACATTTGAACAACAGAGGGAAATGCATTCCAAAGGAGGCAAGCAATGGTCGGAGCCTACTATGTGGGCTTAAAGAGAAAAACCTTAAAATATGTTAAAACAAAGCACTAAGAATTGAAAAGGCAATCAATCTGTTACTTTAGTTAGAGTTTGTAGCATTGGTCCAAGCCCTATTCTCTCAATATAGTGCCCACACCACTTGTACAAAGAGGATGGGAGGAATCTTAGCAAAGTGGGTGGGCTACTAGGCTGGCCATGGCCTCTAAAGAAGGGGAGAGGTGTGGAATGTTACGTCTTCTTAGGATCCTCAAAAGACTTTCCACTTCTAGGGTTTTTACAAGTTCCTTTCACGAATTTAGTGCCCACACCACTTGACAGATTTCTTTAATCCCTTGATTGTGTTGGATTCCCCTAATAAAGTCCAAACCCTAGATGGGTCAATGGGGAAAAGTGCTTCTCTAGTTTTTTATACAATAATGATTGTACATTTTGTACTGGAGTATGGAAAAAAGAAGGGTACGAGCATAAGCTAAAAAGCAAGTTTAGGAGACCCACAAGTATGTTTTTCCTTAGTTTTTCTTTTTTCCTCCTCTTTGTTTAATACTTTTGTAGCCAGACGTCTAGAGATAAGCTTCATTTGTTTACTTGGATGATGATGCTTATTATGGACCACACGCCATGTTTTAACTTGCAGAGAAGTCTCAATTCTCAACTTGCTTGGTTGGTAAAAGCTTATTGGCAGTGTTGAGTGTTGACACCACAGACTTGGGGTTCCCCACAACCCGTCTTAACGCACTAAATCATCACTACTTGTGTATCAGTACTGTATATGCATATGTTCTAGAAAAGAAAGGAGGTGGTCTCAGTGTCTCATCATTGGTTGGTTGAGCAGGAACGAAAATGGTCTTTTGCAACTTGAACATATAGATACATGTAGAGAGCTTTGATAGATTTCTTTCCCTAGAAAGGGGCCAAGGGGACATATTCCTATGAGCTCTTGGTGGGAGAATAAGTAAAGAGGAATCCTGAGGTATTTACGCAACTATTGGTTAGGACAATGGTGACCCATTTGTTTATGTATGTAGCCAACCGGGTTAACCCACCTCACCTTGCATCTGGATTATAATATATATGCGTTTTAGCAATTGAAACTTGTTTTGTATGAATGGGGGGTCCAAGGAATCTCGGTTATATGACCGGAATGAAGGTTCCGCGAATGGAACTTCTGCAGAAATTTTGCTTGTATTTCAATCAATTTTGTACATGGACCAGCTCCCTTCCCCGGCGAATTTGTCATACATACTATAGCCACTTGCAGAAAGTTAACTGAAGAGTTTACTTATATTTCAGTCAACTTAGGCCGCGTTTGGCATGCATTTTCGCTTTGGCTGTTGGCTGTTTAGAAGCCCAGCAGCCCCGTTTTGTCTTTTTCCGTTTAATTGGGGGAAGTTCTAGCCACCGAAAGAATGTGTCCCAAAAGACACAAGAAGCTCGATTCAAACTTATTTTGGGAAGCTAGAAATGGATCTTTTCGCCTTTTTTTGTCTCGTTTTTACATAGAAAGATGTGTCTCTAATCAAACGGACTTATTTCAAAAAAGATCCGAACTTATTTCAAAAAAGACTTGCCAAACGACACGTTAGTCCTTTGTTGGTTTTTGAAAAAAAAAAGACTAAATAATAGATATTAGGGTTTGACTCTGATGTCGACCAGAAATACATGATACCAGAAAATCTTTTTACCAATCAACTATCATCATAGAAATGATAACCAATTTAGTGGATTTTCATCAAAATTCATGGGGTGGTTTTGATTGGTTAAAAATCCTTTATGGTATCATAGATTTTTCCTTGATAGATGGAATATAAAGCTTGTACATTGGAGAGGGAGGCTCAGTTGGCAACATCTTGAACAAGGGCAAATGTGGATGTATCGGCCTCTATCGGTGTTTTTTTCTCTATTTTTATGTTTTTTTGGAATATGGTTCGGAGGGTTCGATTTAAAACCGGTCTACCCCCTGTACCACTACTGTCTAACCTGAAACATCCCCTATAAGGGCGTATCAGGAAGCCTCCGATACGATACATATTGGCCAATCGTACACCTACTGATGTTGATCATCAGAATTTCTCAATGATGCTATCTCAGCCAATCATGGTGTGCATTTCAGCACCATATATGTTTTGCTGCAAATCCATATATGAACTAATGCCAAAAGGCCCAAAAACCCAATAATCTGATTATCGTTTAGAGAATGGCACCCTATGTGCATTATATGTGTTTCGAGTTTGCATTCTCCTTGAAGCTAGCCTAAGAAGATTAATGCACATAATTAACTATCTTCAAAGTTTTTTAATTAATTTCCCTTTTACCAACAAATAGCTTAGATCTGCTCCATGTGCTAATGCAGTCTCAGACTCAAGCCAGGATTGCCATTGCTTCTAAAGGGTTACAGTAACTTAAATTAATTGCTTTTAAGGGTAAAACAAGAAAGAATGCAAAACCACTGTCTGAAAAATGGATAATTTCACCCTGTTTCATAGACCCCAACATTCTTTAGTTCAACACTTTTTGATGCATGATTTTTATATGAAAATCCTAAACCCTAAACTTATAAACTTTAACCCTAAAACTTAAATTTAGAAACCTGAACTCTAAACCCTTAAATCTGTAAACCCTAAATTTTAACTAAAACTGCACCATTTGATTGGACACAATTCCTTTAAGCAGGTAGGAGCCAATAATTTCTCAATTAAACCACTTTCTTAGACATTGTTTGAAATAAATTAAAGGGGCAAAGCTATCTGTTTATAAAAGCAATGAGATTGTAGCTTGTATCCAGTCATGTTCTATCTCTCAAAGCAATTACTTTGGAAGCAATAATATAGGAAGATTGCTCTTAATAAATGCAACTTTAATATTTGGTAAATTTTCATTGAAAATTTGACAGAACTCTCTCCATCGATCTACAAATGATCGAATTATAAGCTGTGGACGGATTCGACATATTTAAATGGGTTTAAGATATTGAATTACCTACTTCCACACCAAATTAATTATGAGCATTTTAATTTAGTGAACTTGGCTGGCTTAAAAAGAAAGAAAAGAAAAAAATAGTAAACTTGGTAATAAGATCCCTAATTAACGAAGTTTCGTGAATTTGATGGATGAGATTTGACCAATCAAAACACCCAATGAATTTGATGAATACCACCAGATTGGTCACTTCTTTTATAATACTAATACTGATTGATTGGTTATAAGTTTTTCCCATATCATATCTTTTTGGTATCATAGTCGAACCCTTTAAAAAAATACAAATATAAAGGCTAACCATTCCAAACAGTACTATAATATGTGAATGGGTTTGCTAGATGAGTCATATAGCAAAAGGACATATGAGCTTTAGAAATATCCAACGTCATCCATTGATTTGATTATTTGTTTACCAAACAACTGGAGCTCTAGAAATATCCATACTTCAGCTTTGGAGGCGGCCAAAAAGAACTCCACCACATGCTCGGCACACGACCTTTATCATAATGAAAATTCGAGCCTAAAGATATGGGCCCTTTCTTCTCAGTATTTCTTTTCTTAATCCAAAATTTAGTACTACAAGGATTACATTATTTGGAATGGAATGGAGGATCAATGCAGGATGAGGGCAAAGAACCGACAAGTACTAAGACTCTAAGACACTAGATGGAAGCTAATTTAGGGCGACCCTTATCTCATCAACGGTCTGAAATGGCTGTCTACCTCATTCCTTCACATGGGTGGAATTGGGAATGTCCTCTTCTGAGACTGAGAGATGCTTGATCCATTTTGTGGGTGTTCTCCAATTTGAATTTCTTTTCCTTGTGTGAATTCAAAAACAAATCAGAAGCATCTGGCTGTTTAAAAAGAAAGATTCTTAAAGCAAAAAATGTTTTGAAATTTTTGTTTGAAAAAACATGTTTTCATCCGATAAACCCATGTAATGTTTAAAATAACCTGTTTTTATTTTAAAAATTAACTATCATGGCATCATTGTGATGGTTTAAAAAACAATAAGGCTATGTTTGGTTGCAATGCAAATAAATTTGCACTGGTGCAAAATTATGGCAGTATAAATTCTGACATTTTTTGTTTCAAATTTTCGCTTATTTTGTTTGATTGCAATACAAATGGAGTAATTTAAAATATGAAGCAAAATAAAGTAAAACCCAAAACAAAATTAAACGAAAATTTGCATTCCCATGCATTTCTACTAATGCAAATAAAATTACAATGAAACCAAACACAGCCTAATAGATTTTTAAAGCAAAACTAACTTGTTTTCTTCTCAAATAGAACATGTTTCAAATTTATTTTTACTGATGCGACAATTTTGAAAATAAATAAAAACCGAGACATCCATGTTGTAGACCTACCACTTAAGTTTTATAATGGATGCTCATGTCATTCAAGCCTATGTAAAGCTAATCACCATAATCACAAGCCTCAAAGCATACTTTCATGTGGTTATGAATATTTGGCAAACACTTGTCATGCCAAATTAGGGATCTGATTAAATGACTATATATGTATCCTTCCATCCATCTGTTCTTATTTATTTATTTATTTGTCTAAATATGCTCCCAAAGTTTTAGTGGTTATCACTCTATTCAGTTAACTACTTTAGGGAAATTAAAAGTCAATAAATCAAGGCACTTAATGAACATTGATTGATCAAAATTCCTTGACATATTGTTTTAATATCTTCCTTAAATATATGGCATAATAATATCCATGGTACATCCGCTGCATTTTGTGTACTAAAAGACGTGATTGGTTAAACATGATGACAAGTACATCTTATTTTATTAAACACAAAAAATACATTAAAAAATAGAGGTTTTTATAGTTCAGTTCATCCCTAGAAATCTTAGCTTCACCGTATAGGTGGAGCAAATCCTGACCGTGGATTGATGCTGGATTTAATATAATCAATCATGGTGAATGCATTAGTTAAACTTTACATATGTTGACAATAAATTATTCGAAAAAATATATTGCAGTCAATTGCAGAATTCTGAATTCCATTACAATCTTGTACAATTCAAATAACAAACACCCCCACCTTAAAATATCAATACCCACCCATAAATTAACATCAATTCAAAACTGACACCTACCCAATTGTACAGTGGGGATAAGAATTGTTAAGCCCATAGAATGGCAGCATGGTTAATCCATAGATCATCTATCCACAATCAAAATGATTACCCATGTACAGACAACATATAATGTATACAAGGTCACAATCAATTACTAGCTAGGTTTTTAGAGTCTAGTAGTATAGGATCTAGTTTTCATTTTAGGAATCCGGAGTTCCGGGACAAGATCACAAGCTTAAGAAACTTATATAAATTAAACCCAAGACAGATGAGAGAAGTTCTGCCGTCGTATTGAGTGACATCTTCCCGTTTGAAGTGTGTGATTTGATTGGGAGACACCCCCTGTGATGAAGACCTAAGCAGTAGGTAATCCAACACCAGGGTTTCTTTATGCAATAATCAACATTTGTTTAGGTATTGTTTGGTTGGATTCACAATGCCACAAGCACACGTGCACACACCTAGTCCGTTAGTTCTTTGCTTATTTATTCATTTCCTACATTGTTAAGGCTTATTGGGAGCATAAAAGATGAACGACTAATTACATGGAGAGGGGGACCATTAATTAGAAATGTGAACATTTTGATCAAATTGGGTTTCTCTTTGTCCTTGGAGCCTTTCACTGTTCAGATCAAAACTTTAATTAATTTGCTCCAAAACTACCTCAATATTTTTAGCTCCTCGGGGAATGGGCTTAGCTAATTTTATTGCATAAAGCCTTAATATTTATGGGAAGATATTTCCAATGCAAGATTGCAAGAGACTAGTGAGCACAGACGGGCTTGCACTGGATGAAGCCGAACTCCAACCCACCAAACCCAAAATTCTCAACAAGAAAGAGTACTAGCTCTTGCCTCTTAGTCTGAGTCAATGAGTCATGACCTACAAACTTTACCATGTACATATGTATATATGAGAAGCTTATATATATATATGGACTATATTCCTTCATATAGATGAGAGCTTAGGGGGAGGAGGAGGAGGAGAAGAAGAAGCAACGTGTCTATGTTTGAAAGCATCAAGTTTGATCTATCTCTAGAGATGGTTGATAACATTGGAAGCCGTAGCCCAGATTGGGAAGGCAATAATAAGTACAAGAGTACTGCAGGTGGTGGAGCCTCTGCGATCCGTGGCGCCTCAGCCTCAGCAGCAGGCGACGATGGGAGCATTAAAGAGCAAGATCGGCTGTTGCCAATTGCCAACGTGGGGCGGATCATGAAGCAAATCCTGCCACTCAACGCCAAGATCTCCAAAGAGGCAAAAGAAACCATGCAGGAATGTGTGTCTGAGTTCATTAGCTTTGTCACTGGGGAGGCATCTGACAAGTGTCACAAGGAAAAGCGGAAGACTGTGAATGGAGATGACATTTGTTGGGCTCTCGGCACACTAGGCTTTGATGATTATGCCGAGCCCTTGAAAAGGTATTTGCATAGATATAGGGAGTTAGAAGGAGAGAGAGCAGCTAATAATCAAAACAAGGGTGGCAGCATGGAAAATAAACAAGTAGTAGCATCCATCTTTGCGAGTGATCATCAGACCAGCAATCAGAAACCTTTCTCTTCTACTCCTTTGAGGTTCAATGTGATTGATAAGAGTAATATTAGATCTGCCTCACATCCATTTTAACATCTTGGGAAGAAGAAATGAAGAAGCTAAGAAGTACTGTGACATCTATCTACTAGCTGCTAATTTGTATTTCTGTACAAGGTTAGGTATCCTGGGTTTGATCATTAATTGGTTTACTAGTTGTTAGAGTGATAATTGTGGATGGTTTTATGCTAACCATCTTGTTGTGTTGTGTCTCTGGGTTTTGTCTTTGTGAATTGTAGTATGAAAATTAATTAAGGTTTTGATTAATTTAGTTGATCTTGCTAAAGGGGTTGTACAACATTATTTCAGAAGCTGATGATCTCTTTACCTTGATTTGAATGTTGATCGAAATTTTGGTGATGAAGCGGATTATAAATTCCCATCTTCAACTACTGGAAGTAGAATGGAGAATTGTTAGTTAATTAGGTCAGTCTCCACAACCTACACGTTTGTGTTGAGGATATAAGACTCTATGATTAGTTTTATTGCTAGACATAGGGTTTTGCTTTAGCTTTCTTTTAGGATCACAGCCAATTAATTGATTGTAGTGTATTAATTCTGTACTGGTTTATTATGATGATTACATTAATTTCATATGAAATTTGAGCATTCTCTCTCCATTTTTGTTCAACAATGTCTCATCCTCTGGTATATTTTTCCCTCATTTCTCTTATATTCTCTTCAAATTTGAAACTCCAAACTGGCAACCAAACGAGATGTCTAGCTATCAGTGACCTTATAATTAACTCATTTATCACCCAAAGAAATGCTAGGTTGTGCATTTAATTAATATCTAGGGTTAATTATGTGGGTTCAAAATCTGAATATGTGAAGTAAGTATTAACCAGTATTTATGTAGATGTAGAATAGTCAAAGTTGGCCAAGGCTACATGTTCCTATAGGCTGTAGGGAATAGGGGTTAGGGTTTCCTCCAAGTAGTCATCCCGGGACCAGTGCTACGTGCCTCAACATAACATGATTTGTCCTATAAAAACCCATCAAATCTCGAGCATGTTGACAATTACTATATTCAAATGGATTGGGTTATCTTCCCACAAGTGAGGATGACTGGATTGTCGAGCTAATTGGAGTTTTTGAGGAAAAGCTAAGAGATTGATCAGAGAGAAGATTAGTGGTTCTAGGTCTCTCTCTCTCTCATTCTCACACACACGTATTAGGTTAAGGGTTGGTTCCTTTTTGAAATAAAAGAGAAGGCCAGCGATTTGTGCGCCCCTTGTTTTTGCTAAAAGGGAAGAATTGTAAAGGCACAGCTGTGTCCATTATTATAAGCAAAAGAGATGAAGTTAAAAAGAAAAGAACATTTGTTTTTTATGGCACGTTCATCTTTATTACACTATCCATAGTTAAAATGGGGCTATATATTTCATAATAACTGACCTAATTAAACAGAGAAAAATCAGCCTTTAGAGGTAACCATCATGGATTTTAATTTAGATACACAGTTTGATCTTCTCCCATAAATTTTGCTGTTTTAATTTGCCTCAATACTTGAAGACCCAATTTTTTTTTTCTTCTTCCTACTCTTTGATGATGAGTTTATCTCCAAGGTGATGAAGATGAACTTAGTGTTTACAGTCTAACAACAATTGAAATTTGAAAAGTAAAAGAATAGGAGCTAGTGAGATCTAGGACCACCCTCAAAGATGAAACATAGAAATTATTATTAGATAGGATACTGCACAAAAGGACCAAATTAAAGAGGAGCAACAGAAACTGGACCAATTATACTTCAATGTCGTACTATGTACAGGTCTAGCTTCTTCTTTTAAGGATAATTATATTTTGTGGAGGTAAGGTCCCAGCGTTGTACTAGGGGAGCTCTCTTCTTCATGGAAGACACCCTATGGGCTCATAGTATGGGATGCTGATTGGTGCCCATAGTTGGCATTGCACGGTTTGTCCAGCAAGTGTCACTTAGAAAAATGTGAATGCCTGTATATACCTATATTATTAATGGTGAAGCCACACTCACTATCCCCCTCTTTGCAGCAAACTCTTTGCCATGACAGAGCATGTGGCTTAGGAGTTCTCCATGTGACATATTGCAGCTTGGTGCAATGAAACGTGTCAGGTCGTGGTTGACATGCGGCGCATTTTCTTCTTATGCATAGTGTGTCTTTTTCCAGCCACACACTGTACCAGCAGTAGACCTGTTCATGGGCCGGGCTCATTCTTGGCTTTTGCCAAATTTTGAATGGTTCCGGCCTGAAGCCCAAGCCCAATATAGTGTAAAGTCAGGCCCCAAGCCTGGCCTGTGAATAGGTTTAACCAGCAGAATGTTGACACATTTGCACATATGCCATGTGCAAACGATTACATCAATGCATAGAGAGATTGAAGGCTCATGATGCATACATATATATATAGCACAATGTCAGCCTGTTTGGCATGTATCAGACCATGTTCAGCACCATGATTTCTGCTTTCTAGTAAGGCTCTAGGGTTTGGTGCATGCCTGTATCTAATTAGGGACTTGAACAATGAATGCATTCACCTACATGAAGGGAAATAACCAAGAATTTAGATCAAATTCTTGCTACAGAATTTAATCTAAACAGTTCTTAAGAAAAACCAGCTTTAATTAACCTCAATGCAACTCTCTAGAACTGCTGAAAGAAAATTCAATTTTTCATTCAAGAAGCCTCATAATGTAAATCCAATTAATCATTAATTAAGTAGCCAATATTGTTATTTGTTAATTAGAATGCCAAAATCATTAATCACTTGGACATACATATATATAATCCCTCACAAATGGAACTATGGTGGAAGCTGAGAAAGTTGACACTACCAACCCAAAGTGTTCCCCTCTAGTTTGTCCTCTGAATCCCTATGTAGTTCAACAGACAAACTCTTGTTATTTTGTCCTCTAGTTTGTCTATTACAGATATGATAGTATCTAAAATTGTGAATAAGCATATAATAAAATTTGTATATAGTTTTTTTTATACATAAAGAAAAAATTAAAGAATAAAAAAATGTAGTAGTTCAATCGACAAACTCTTGTTTATTTTGTCCTTTGAATCCATGACTGACTTATTTCTTTTTTGTTGAAGCACTGCAACATGCCTTCAGACTAAAAGAACCATCAGGACTAAAAACCAAGCTTCAAGTAGATTGCTAAGTGAGGATGAAGCTTAATTACACCTATTAATTGTGAGATAGCTAGATAGTTGTGGGAAGTGAACAGTAATTGTTTCTCTTTTCTTTTGTGCTAATAGTGGCCACCTTCTTCCAACCAATTTAGGAGTAGGGAGATAGTGGGCAAAGATACTCTTATACTCTTCTCAGTCATTAGAATTTTTATCTAATAAATTAAGCATAATAAAATATTATCTTAAATAATTCATTTCATGCATTTTTGAAAAAAATAAAATTGAAAACTTATTATTTGGGCACACATTAGGTAACTGGACTACTATATTTTATATACTAATAATATTATAAAAAAACTATATATGAGAACTTCTACTGATGCAAAGTCTTCAGTTTGCATTCAATATACTGAAGTTTTCAATTTGAAAAGAAAAATAATTAATACCCAGTTGAATAAGATAATTTGAACAGTTAGAAAACAGGATATTTTCAGAAAATGATCCATTTATTTGATGGCTAGAGGTATCCAATAAATCTGGTTTCTTGTGTCATGGATTCCATATACATGTGGTCTCTAGCTACAAGATACAAGGTTTGAGTTCTGAAAGATAATCAACCAATTGTCTGAAATAGACTAGGTGCTTCTCATAATATTTCAAGGTTTATAAGTAGCATAAGTTAATCCTATAAATTACTTAAAATGCAAATTCTTTCTTCCCAAGAACATATATTTTAATAAACTATAGCTTAGGATGGTCACTATGCAGAAACTATTAACTCAGAAATTTAAACGTGTATAAGTTTTAGGGGGGAATATAAGTGTTTAGTAAAAAAATTGGGGCACACCATGTAATTCAATGAAATTGCTATAGAGTTCTAAAGGCTGTTTGGCCCCTAGTTCATATATGACACCAAGAGGCCACGTAAAAAGAAATAATCTTATCTATATATATTTTTTCTTTTAACAATTGAAACCATACATTTGTTGTCAGGATCGGGTTGATTTCAATAGTTTAGTAACATTAGAGATAAGGTTATCTTGGGATTTAAATAGAGATAAGGTTAGAGCCAGAAATTATTACTGTATCAATTTCAGAAACTACAAGATCAGACCGTATAGTTAATATTATAATCCTTTTCTGACATTTTATTATCTTTTATTTGAAGAAGTTATTATATATCTTTCTTATTTTTTATTTGCATAGGTCCAACTGATCTATTAGGTAGGGGTTGGCCACAAAAAGAGAGGAAAGTGTACAGTACATGGGTGTTTCACTAGTTAGCTAGGTTGATGCATAAGGTTTGCTAAATTAGCGTATTCACAACACTTGGTGAGGATTAGAAAATTACATACATAAAATTCCAGGACAGAGTTTAATTAATTAATGGGTTGTGTTGTTTTTCTTAGGCCATGTTTGGGAGTGTTTAAGTTAAAAATAAGTGCTTATTCAAATAGGCAGTTATTTGTATTTGACATTCAACTTTTCTAAGTACTTTTATGAAAGCATTTTTATAAAAGTACTTTTACGAAAGTACTTTTATGAAAGTACTTTACATGTGTATCCATCTTACGGAGTAATGTGTGCACATATATGAAAAACGGTGATGGAAATCACTTTACCAAACAGCATTAGTGTTGCTTAATGCCTACGTGGCAAAAACACTACCAAACATATGAAGGTGTTTATTTGTGAAAAATGGGTTTAGCATGTGTGGGCGCTTTTTTTTTTTTGAAAATCGGTTTCAAAAAACGCCCACACTTCCAAACACCATCTATGTTATAACAAATGAAAGTATAAAAGAAGAATGCTATGAATAATGCTTGCACAAGTCGCTGCTATATCAGTTAAGGCGTTGAACCACACCAACCAACAAACTTGGGCATTATTTTAATTTTTCTCCCCATCATCAGGACCGAATTAGCTAGGGTTTAGGATCATGAGAATGAGAATAAATACTCTGTCTTGAAAATATAGTGAAACTTCGGAGAAATTCATCCACATATATTGATAGTAGTTTCAAACAATATTAGCAAGCAAACCCATGCAAGGATTTGAATAGAAATTTGGATAGGTTTAGGTTGAAAAATTTAGGTTTTGATGTCAATTTGGTTCCAAGCTAAGGTTCACGTTCAAGGGTGATCTAGGGTTGGCCCTTAACCACACCCAACCCGACATTTAAAAAGAAATAAGAGATTTAATGGGGGAAGGGAGATGTTACAAACATTGACTATTGAAGGGTGAGGGGGGGATTAAGAACATTTTTATTAGAGAAGATCTAGAGTAATGATAAATTTTAATAGAGAAACATAAGAGAGTTTTATAAGGAGACATAAGAGGATTTTCAATATTTCACATGTGTGAAGAATAATAAAAGGGGAGACGACTCTGTGTGAGGCCTGTGGTGAGAGACCCATGGCCTCTACATATTGATAT